ATATATATATATATATATATATAATGACATCGAGATCAATGATCAAGGCGATATCTAACATTTATTAAGTGAATACAAGGAGATCGTGCAATTAGCAGTTCATCAATGATCAAGGCGATATCTAACATTTATTAAGTGAATACAAGGAGATTGTGCAATTAGCAGTTTATAACTACTAACGATTAATTTGACTATTTTATTTGTGGACAAAGCATTCTCTTAAATTGAATTTGAATTGCTGATAAAATAAACTTTAAACAATGTTGAATATTTTTTTAAAAAGATGTACAAAACTAAAAGAAGGCATAAAAGTAATTAAAACACAATATTTCCAGAATACACAAGACCAGAATAAACAAGAAAATTTCCAGATACAACAAATTTAATAACAATAAGTGTTTCAACGACAAGTCTTTATGCAAATTTAATCAAAACGAAATAACAATTAAATATTCAATTCAACAATTAAATATTCTTTCAGTAATTATCAATTATCAAAATACAAAAAACGATAAAGAAGAATGTTTATTTGCATGTGATATATATTTTCATATAATTCATATATTTTCGGAGTAAATTTAACACGATTCGAGGAAATCCTCGTTTTATTTTTCTTTCTTTTTTTTTTTTCGTGGAAGGTTAAATTATTTTTTGTCACCTCAGATGCGTCTGAGCAATTTGCTCGGACCAAGCAATTCAAGTTTAATTTAATCTCCTAAGTTTATTTGCACAATACGTTCGCTGAAAATTTCCATCTAAATTTTCAGAAATATAATTCTCCAGAAGAGCTTCGTGGCCTTAAACTTTCTTCAAAGATTAATATCTAGATAAATATCCAGTGAATGGTTGCAATCTGGCAATTTCGCAACAGAACACGACACGACCTCGACGTATTACCAAACTCGATTATTATGACTTTGATATCGTCAAAACCTTTGTATGCAGTTTATAAAGTATTATCTAAAGCTTTGAGAGATCACGGAGTGACGATTTTCTTTTTCTTCTTTCAACTCTTATTCGACTACTCTATCTTTTCTGCGTTCT